CAGTGTAGAAAGATATTAACTTTGACACAGTGTTTCAGTACTTCTTTATTATCATCTCACCTCCCTGCAGGGTATTCCCCCAGCCAGTGATCCAAGCCTCTTGGCCTGATGGGAAGTAGTAGGTGGAGGAAGGCAGGCAGATGGGTCTGATGTGCTGGGTTAGGTTGACTCTGGTGTCCAGCTCCATCAGCGCGATGTCACTGTCTTCGGTGTATCTGTTGTAGTACCTGTGAGCGATGATCTGCTTCACACCCCTCTTTACTGTCCACTCATTGGTCTGGTTCTGCACTTGCAATCCCAGGAAAGCCTCCCATTTGTGAGCCTGAGACAGCCTGCACCATGAAAACAGTCAGGGCTGTAAACAGATGCTTTAATTGCAATTGTAATGTAATTACATTTCAAATGAAGATGGTTCAAACATATTAAACAAGGATTAATGCTGAGAAAAGACATTTAATAATGATACTGTAAACTATCTTTTGCCTTCATTAAGTCACATTTGTTTGATTTAAATTCTCTTGTAATTTTGTTGATGTCTCTACTTTCTAAAATTCAACTGTTTTATTTATATAACACCAAACCACAACAACAGTAGCTTCAGAGCACCACGTTGTGAGGTAAAGACCCTATAATAATCAAGAAAAAATCCCAAACAGTAAGACAACTCAGTATCATTTGGTGACAATGGTAAGGAAAAACCTCAGGCAGAAACAGGCTCGGGGAGGGGCGGGGCCACTTTTAAATACTCTAGGAAAAACCTGCCGGCAGTCTGTGAACGAAGTGCTCTATTGCAGTGATATGATACTATGGGCATTAGATGGGGTCTCATTATTCAAGGTCTTTTATGTAATGAGAAAGATTTTAAATTTAATTCTGGATTTAACAAGGATCCAATGAGTGAGAAACATGATCTCTCTTTTCTAGTCCTTGTCAGTCCAGCACATCCCACAGATGCTAGATTGTTAATCCCCCACTGTTCCTTCCTTGGACCATTATAGGTATGTGGTGAGTTTCCTGCTGCAGGAGCAATGGACGCGCCTGCGTGGCATCTACAAACCACGCCCCGCCACAAGGTACATAGTGACCACTGCAGACTGGGAACTACAGGACAGACAGTTTTGGAGATGCTCTGACGCAGTCACCTAGCCATTACAATTTGGCCCTTGACAAATTTGCTCAAATCCTTACATTTTACAACATTTGCAGCAATATTTATCACTTAAAATAGAGCTCCTACTTGTAAACTGTAGTGTCTTGGACGCAGTGGGCAGCAGTCAGCAGCCAGCGGTCACTCAGCACAGAGGCTCCACACATGTGTCCTAGCCCCTCGAAGTGGAGGCTCACCTGCCAG